TTTTATTTAATTATTTGACAGAGCGATCGCAAGTAGGCAGAGAGGCAGACAGAGAGAGAGGAGGAAGCAGGCTCCCCGCTGAGCAGAGAGCCCGACGGGCTCGATCCCAGGACCCTGAGATCACGACCCGAGCCGAAGGCAGAGGCCTAACCCACTGAGCCACCCAGGCGCCCCGAAAAATAATACCTTTTTAAACCTAACTTACACGTAATTAGGCATAAGGTTTAGGTGAAAATATCTTGCTAAAGTTGTTAAACCTAAGGTAAAATATGTAAGGTTCTATAATATTAAGTATTTTCTAATATTTGATTTGCTTTTTATAAGTTGACCAAAATAAAGATTGCATACTTTTAGAACACAAAATGCAGTAGTTATGTAAGGTCAATTAAAGTGGTAAAGCTAATCATAATAATAAACCCCTTCACCCATGTTCTCATGTAATTACATTAAGAAATAAGAACTATAAAAACAGGTAAAATTTTGTGAAAATATTCCAATTTATTCTAGCTTAGCAGTTCTTGCCCACATCCATGGCTTGTCAGGCATCGGCCACAGCATCAGGAACTCCAACTGTCCTGTTGTCCATAGCCTTCGTCAAATAGACTTGGCAGCCCAGTCGAGATCTGTTCATCTGCGTGCCAGATCGAGCATGCCATTCTCATCAGTCACTGCTTCTAATTTCTCCAGTGTGTGCTCTTCAAAGATGAGGTGACAGGTGGAGCAAGCCAGGGTTCCCTCACATGCGCCAGAACCATCAATATCTAGATTATTTTCCCTCACCACGTCCAGTAGAGAGTCACCAACTTTTCCTTTGGCTGTTAATGTCTTGCTGGCACGGTTTACAAAGTGAACTGTTACTCTGTCTTCTGAGCTGCTCCGTGCCGGCCTGACACGGACACGCTGAGCGAGGGGGGGCCCGGCGACGAGCAGCCAGCGAGGGCCCTGCCGCCCTGGGCCGCAGAGACGAGGCAGCGTGCAAAAGCCGGGTGCCCCCCGCGGCGGCTTGAACACGGTGGTCGTCGGGTAACGACTGGAAGCGTCAACGACTGGAAGCATCGCCGGCCGCACCACAGCGATCGGCTCCGCGAGTGCGAACTAGCCGCTGCACCGGCGCTGGGCGCCCGGGGGTCCATGGGGAGGAGTACGGCGGCTGGGGTCCCAGTGAGGGCCAGCTCCATGTGACGGCTGCCTGTTTCTGGGTTTTAAATGCTTTTTTTTGTTTGTTTCTTACGTTTATTTCTGGGTTTTAATTTCTTTCTCATTTGGTCTGTTATTGTCACCAATATGTAGCCATTCTATGTCTAATTGAAAATTTGGGGAGAACTAGTTACTTATAGTCCCTCCCCTTTTGCCGTATGAAATTGATTTTCTGAAAAAAAAAAAAAAGTTCTTGAATTTTAATGATAAGTACAAGAAAGGAAAACCACATTTTTTACTTAAATATGTCGTTATATGTAGGTGCACTTGAGTCTTATTTAACTACCAGTGTGTTTGCTATTAAGACCTGACGATGTTTAACATTTTTTTAAAGTCAATTTTTTTTAAAGATTTTATTTATTTGACACAGAGAGAGAGGGAACACAAGCAGGAGTGGGAGAGGTAGAAAAGCAGGTGCCTCGCTGAGTAGGCAGCCCGATGTGGGGCTCGATCCGAGGACCCTGGGATCATGACCTGAGCTGAAGGCAGACGCTTAACGACTGAGCCACCCAGACACCCCCCCCCAAGGTCAAATTTGAATATGATAGTTTTCCTTGTCTTCTGAGTTCATTTGTTGCTTTTTCAACACATATTTGAGTGTTAGCATGTCAGGCGCAATGTTAGGCACTGGGAGTAAAATCACGAATCCACTTCAGATAAAACATCTTGTCCCTTGGGCAAACATGAATTACCAGAATGGTACCGTAGTGAGAAGATTTGATGGTCATTGACCCCACTCTAGAGAGCTGCTCGCAAGGCCCTGCACTGCACGTTGAGAGAGGAGCATGCGGGAGGAGCCTGGAACTCTGCAGAGCAACAGGACGGCCTGGCAGTGGGCTGGGGAGGAGCTAGCAGAAAGAGCTGTAACCAGGAAATGCTTATTTCTGTGTGACTGATCTAATTTTAAATGCCAGCTGGTTTTTATAATACTAACTTATTAATGTGTTCTGTGTTGTTTTAACCTTTTGTAGTTTTGGTTTTTTTTGGTTTTGTTTTTTTTTTTTCTTTAGAGAAAGAGCGTGTGTGCGCGGGGTCGGAGAGTAGAGGGGGCAGGGGGAGAGAGAATCTTAAGCAGGCTCCATGCCTTGCAGCCTAACTGACTGAGACACACAGGTGCCCCAGAGATCCTTTTTTGTGAAATGTATGTAGTGAAACGTGTTCCGTGTTCTGCCTGTTCACACACCCTTTCTCCCCCATAACCCCTGGCAACCACTGGTCTTTTTACTGCCTCCCTAGTTTTTGCCTTTTCCATAATGGCATATGGTTATAATCATACAGTGTGTAAGCCTTTTAGATTGGCTTCTTTAATTTAGTAATATGCATGGAAGTAAGTCCCCTTCATTTGTTAGTGGCTAGTTAGTGGCTAGTGGCTAGTTAGTGGGAGTTCTTTTTGTAGTGAATATTCTGATGTCTGTATGTACCACACTGTTTCTGTTCACTTTTTTTTTTTTGTATTGCTAACTTCCAAGCAACGTTTTGGTTGCTTCTAAGTTTTGGCAGTTAGGAAGAAAGCTGCTAATCTGTAGGTGTGTAGGTGTAGACCTACATTTCAGCTCATTTGGGTAAATACCCAGGAGTACAGTTATTAGATCATATAGTAAGAATATGTCTAGTTTTGTAAGAAATTGCCATATTGTCTTCCAAAGTAGCGTACAACCATTTTGCATTCCCACCAGAAATGAAGTAGAGTTCCTATAGTTCAGCATCCTTGCCAGCATTGAGTGTTGTTAGTGTTCTGGATTTTGACAATTTCAGTACATGTGTATGGTATCTCTTTGTTTTAATTTGCAGTTCCTTAGTGACATGTTGATTATATTTTCATGTGGGTTTTGGTGGGGTGTTTTTTTTTGTTTGTTTGTTTGTTTTTTGCTTTTTTGGTTTTTTTTCCCTTGCCATCTGTAGATCTTGGTGAGGTATCTGTTTAGGTCTTTGCCCATTTTTAATTGAGTTGTTCATTTTATTATTGAGTTTTTTTTTTTTTAAAGATTTTATTTATTTGACAGAGAGAGAGATCACAAGCAGAGAGAGAGAGAGAGAGAGGAGGAAGAAGCAGGCTCCCTGCCTAGCAGAGAGCCCGATGTGGGACTCGATCCCAGAACCCTGAGATCAGGACCTGAGCTGAAGGCAGAGGCTTAACCCACTGAGCCACCCAGGCAGCCCCTATTATTGAGTTTTAAGAGTTCTTTGCATACTTTGGATAATAGTCCTTTCTCAGATAAGCCTTTTGCAAATACTTTTTTCCAGCTTGTAGCCTGTCTTCTCCTTCTCTTGTAGGGGTGACCAGTTTCATAATTTTTATCTGCTTCACATGCTTCTTTCCTTGTGGAACATAGAAACTACATCATAGTCTAGTCTTTTATTTTTCTCTGTATATGTAATCTTCTTTATTTTGAGTTTTCATTATATAGTGCACATACATTTATTTTTGGCCTTTTAAAAAATCCACTTGCCACACTCCTGATTATCAAATTTTTTGGAATTTTATTTCTAGGTTTATTTTTGCTTCCTCTTGTCCCCACTATATTGACTCTTCCCTTTTTTGACAGTCAGAAATTTATACCTTTTTCAAAGTACTAATGTTTTAGTATTTTAACACTTCGGTCGCACCATTTTTTTTTTCTGTCTCCCATCATTTTATTTGTTTTTACTAATTCAGCTCAATAAAATATTGAACACATGTCATGTTCAAGCACACTCTCTGGCATAGACTTAGGATCCAGGTTAGGATAAAACTTGGGCCTGTGTGGACATCAAACATGACAGTTCAGAAAGAACTGTATGGAATCAGCTTCATTTCTGCCCTTCTTCCCATCACTTACCTTTTTACAATAATGAATTGTAACTAATATTTTAGAACTTTCTTGTATCGTTGTAATGGCATATATAATTTATTATTTCTGCCATACAGATTCTTGATATTTCTGCTGTAATCTCAATAAATAGGTCAGTATTTTACTTCTTCATGCTCATGTGAAGGGGATGAAGTATTCTCCAACTAGCAAGCTTCCTTGCTCCTTTGGAAGAACCGCAAAATTGTGTTAGTCATTTCCACAGTCACTCATTTCCTTGCCTCTTGTCTTCCCTTAGATGTGAAAGCAGTTGTTGAACAGCTCAGAACTTTAAGTCTCATGAAAGTCAAGAACAGATTTGGCGGGGTGTGAGATCTCTATTTAGACACATTGCAGATGTGTGTGTGGCCGGGGGGCAGGGCAGAGGGATTTCTTAGATAGAACATGTGATTTCTTAGAACATATAGAATGGATATGATCAGACTTCCAAAAATGTCTCCTTAACAAGGAACAGTAACCACCGTATTGTGATACATGGACTCACTATGGATCTTGTCCTGTATTTCTCTGATTTTCCTGAGGACCAGTGACCAGTCTCCCTCAGAGCAGCCGCTGTCCATTGGCTGGTGTATGAGGAGCACCGGTTGGGTAGCCTAAAGAGTTGAATTTTTCAGTGTGGCTGTTCCTCCTGTAGGTGACTTGTCTTGGGTGTCAACAGTCATTTCTAGCTGACTTCTTCCTTAAAGATCAGGTGCATGCCTTCAGGCCACTCTGTAGTCTGTGTGCATGCTCAGAGAATGTGTACCAAAATTGTATGTGACTTTGTAGCCAAAGTCACATACAATTCGGAAAAGTCAGTCTCTTGGTCAGCTAGCAGAGTAATGTAGTCTGTAGGTTCGTAAATAGCTTTGGGAGTCCACCTGTTGCTGTTCTATTAGAATACCTTATAACTGTTACTCTTTGTACCAGTCCTGTGTCACATTTTGTTAAAGAATCCTGTTACTTTTCCCCCAGCGGTTTTGCGAGTGGCTGGTTCCCTGCAGAAGAGCACAGAAGTGATGAAGGCCATGCAGAGTCTTGTGAAGATCCCAGAAATCCAGGCCACCATGAGAGAGCTATCCAAAGAGATGATGAAGGTGACTGGGGCCACTCCTGCATCCCATTCCTAGCAGTTACTCCCAGCGGATGGTAGGGGGCTAGGGCCAGGAGTGGGCAGGAATGGATAGACCACTGTTGCCAGACGGAAAGGATTTTGAAGACAGAGGAGCAGCTCTTAATGCTGGTTGAAACTGTTTGAGTTGACCATGGCAGAGTCTGGGTCGTATTGCCAGTGTCCCAGGATCAAGGCCTAAAAAGGACTTCTATGGGTGGCCTTCAGACAGGGACAAGGCTCAGGAGAACATCGGTACTGAGCCCCCCGCCAGCCAGTGGTATATCACACATGTGGTCCTAGAGAGTCCTCCTAGTGACCCTGTGAGGAAGCTATTTTTTTTTTTTACCCCATTTTACACAGGAGGAAATCAAGTCTTCAGATTGCCAGGTAATTTACCTAAGTGACTTTGGTAGTAATGACAGATCTGGGGTTGGAGCACACACGTCTGACCTTATTGCCTGAGCTGTGTCACAAGTGGTGATAGTAAGTTCCTCAGACAGATGTGTTTCTCACTTTGGACTTGTGACCTGAGCTCCAACATTGGATACCTCAGATTCTTATATATTAGCTTATGTAGAAAAATTTCTTTTCTTCTTCCTCGGGAATTTCATTTATGAATTGAAATCTGTGCGGAGCTCTAGGGCATGGGAGAGAGGAATGGGAGAAAATTGATGGAATGACAACATATAATAATGCCCAGAACCTAGGTCTTTGCAACCAGAAGTGCATGGGCAGTAAGTAATAGGGAGGAGGAAATGGGGTCAGGAGTGTGTGTCCTTTCAAAGTGGTGTGTGGATCTTTTTTCCCAAGTTGTGATGACTGTCCATGTAGAACTGGATAAAAAGTTCTACAGAGAAGTCTTAGAATGACTTCAGGCCACTCATTCAGCCACCAGGATCTGAGGGGAAGCCCCTTTTAGAATCCAGGGTCTTTTCCACAATGGTTTCTTTTTTTTTTTTTTTTTTTTTTTTTTTTTTAAGATTTTATTTGTTTATTTGAGAGAGAGAGAGATACGCGGCGAGAGAGGGAACAAAGCAGTGGGGGTGGTAGAGGGAGAAGCAGGCCTCCCGTTGAGCAGGAAGCCCGATGTGGGGCTCGATCTCAGGACCCCGGGGTCATTACCTGAGCCTGAGCTGAAGGCAGACGCTTAACAACTGAGCCACCCAGGCGCCCAGCGGTTTCTGAATGCTGAAGTAATACGGATTGGGAGGAAAACCTGCATGTGATACCCATTCCAGGCTCCATCCTCAAGTACAAACTGAAGCCTCTGGTAGGAGCCCAGCTCTTTGAGGGCAGGGACGTGATGTTAGTCATCCCGTTTGTTCCCAGACCCTGGCCTGTTGGGTGGCACAGAGCAGGCATTTGACAAATGGTTGCAGATAGAATAAGTGAATAAATGACTGAATGATGTCTGCCTCCAGGATGTGGAAGGCTGTTACGGTCAAGACTCCAGTAGGCTCTGTCAGCCGGTTATGGAGCACGTCCTGAACCTCCTGCACAGTAGCCTCCAACACCAAGCTGACATCCATTCCTTCAGGTCCCAGGGCTCCACCTCTGCATTTGTTGATGTGTTCATTTAGGTTGGGGGGAAAGGATCTGAGAATGGGTAGAACACGGTTATTAGTCTGATTCATGTCAGTAAGAATGGTCTGGCAGGAGAAAGGGCTTTCTTCACATCTGCTGTCATGGGCATGGTCCATGAGCACAGCACCGTGCCCTGCCAAGGCCAGAGCTGCCACAAGGGACCCTCTACTCCGTAAGTCTCTGGATCAAGGTACAAAGCAAAGGGGCTCAGCTCTTGCAAATGGCAAAGGAATTAGGATTTTTCTGTCTGGCCGCTTCTCAGAAGCCTGAACCCATACTTTCCCTCTGCTTCTCATCCCTTCCTATCTCTTCTGCCCGGGGATACCAGGGGCCTCTTTCATTAGAGGGTGCTCTTAGGACCTTTTGCTTCAAAACAAACAAAAAACAGTACGGTCTCACTTGGAAGCCGAGGACACTGCTTGGCAAGGAAGGCTGTGGGTCCATTCTGTGTTGGGCAGTGCTCGAGAATGGTTTTCTTTTGCCCGGTGGTGGCGCCGTGCTACCTCGAGAACAAAGGAGGATGAGTGATTGGCTTCAGGCTGCCAGACTGAGTCTTCCAGTAGAGTCTGGGAGTGACCTTGTTGGGTCCAGAAACCTTGTCTTATTGATTCTCTCAGGAATGGAGTCAGTCTTTGGTGAACTGATTGATCCTTGCCAGACTCCCCTTGGACTGCCCGTACCAGCAGCTGTAACCTAGACATGCTGAAGTACTCTTTAGGCCTTTTCAGGGTTCCATGGAACCCTGCTCTACTCTTAGTACTTGTTATCATAGAGTCTACAAAGACTCCACTCCATTTTCTTTCGTTTTTAAGATTTTATTTATTTGACAGAGAGAGAGAGGGATAGCATAAGCAGGGGCAGTGGCAGATGGAGAGGGAGAAGCAGGCTCCCCAGTGAGCAGAGAGCCCAGTGCCGGGCTCAATCTCAGGACCCTGGGATCAGGACTTGAGCCCAAGGCAGAAGCTTAACCAACTGAGCCACCCAGGTGCCCTAGGGCACATGCTTCCCAAGAGAGCTCAGAGCACACTCATTTTCAGCAGTTTCTTCCCAAGTCTGTCTAATTACAGTCTGGGTTACTACGAGGCTCTGCTGAGAGGCCCCTCACTCCCAGCCCTGGTGCTGAATATGGAGAACAGTTTCCCTGTGGCCTTTGCCTTTTTTCAGAGAGGGAGAGAGCATCGTTTTTTCCCTGTGGCCATCTGTCTTGGTGTTAGCCTTCAGAAGGGTGGTCTGGACTTGGAGACACTACAGCTCGGGTGGAACTGGACCCACAGAGGAGTACCTGGGGACCAGATTGACCTATTGAGGGAAATGGTGTGATTTTTTTTCTGTCTTTAGGCTGGTATCATAGAAGAAATGTTAGAGGATACTTTTGAAAGCATGGATGATCAGGAAGAAATGGAAGAAGCAGCAGAAATGGAAATTGACAAAATTCTTTTTGAAATCACAGCAGGTATAGCCTTGAGATTCTTCCTCTTTCTCCCCTCCTTCTGTGGTCATTCTTGCAGTCACTAAGTTATCTAGTAGCTTTTTCTTTAGGACTCTCTTATGTCTACACTTTTTAGATTATAAAATTAGTATTTGAAAAAGAAGCACAATATCCATAACCATTTTTTAAAAACACCAAGATTTTTAAAAAATTCCTAGAGTTTTCAAATGGTAAGGAGAAACAGTGCTCTCACGACACTGCCGTTGGGAGCTTAAGTTGGTAAGACTTTCTTGAAAGCAGTTTGGCAGTAGCTGTCAAAAGCCCTGGAGCTAACAAATTGATTTCCAGGAGTTTATTCTATAATTAAGGATGTGAATGAAAGATTTAAATTCAGGGACATCTATAGGAGCATTATTTATCATACTGAAAACTTTGAAACCAGTGAAGTGCCTAATAGTAGAGTATTGGTTCAACTGTATTGTATCTGTTTGAATGGAATACTTTATAGCTGTGGTAATGCAGAAATACATTCATTGACATGGAAAGATGTTCACAGTACAATGTGTGAGAACAGTCTTGTTTATTATCATACATACTCTGGTGTGAAAAACAGGCCTATAGAAGAAGTCTGGAAAGGGAATAAACAAAAATAGTAGTTATCTCTGAAAGATTGTTAATGAGGTTTTAAACTTCATTTTTACTTTTGGATTTTGGGACTTAGGTTTAATAAAAAATTGGTGACATTTAATTTTTATGTTTTAAAATTATTTCTTTCTTTTTGAAATTGTTGGGAGAAAGACTAGTTGCTCCAGGAAAACATTTTTGTGGAGGTTTAGAAACCATTTAGCTTTACTGAGAGACATTTAACATCTTCATGAATCTTGAAAATTAAGTATTTGGTGTTTAGGATTTTCAACCAAGAGTGTCAGAACCAAAATTCTAAAACTCAGAATCCTCAGTTATTGTTACCTTGGTCTCCTGACAAGCTGGTGTTTGCATGTTTGTCATAGTGAGCAAAACCCCATGCAAACAGCTCGTTCATTGCCCCTTTTCTGTTTCTTGTTGGCCTTGTCCAGGCATGAAAGGCGGAGAGGATGAGGGACCACTTTAAAAGGATACTTGGTTAATTGATTTGCTATTTCTCTTCAGGGGCGTTGGGCAAAGCACCTAGTAAAGTGACCGACGCCCTTCCAGAGCCGGAACCTCCAGGAGCCATGGCAGCATCAGAAGATGAGGAGGAGGAGGAGGCCCTGGAGGCCATGCAGTCCCGGCTGGCCACACTCCGCAGCTAGGGGCCGCCCCGCCGGGCCCTCGCGCTCCTTCCCTGCCCGCCTGCCAGGAGCCGGCACACTCCTCTGAAGCGGCCACCATTTTATGTGTCTCTTGCACTACACCTCTGAACGAGCACTGCGTTCTGAGAAGGTTCTCTGCTCATATCTCTCCATCTTTGCCGAGGTTTTGGGATCTCAACGGGTTTGTCCTTGAGAGGTGGGGTTATACATAGAAGTATCTTTTGGGGGGGCAAAGGAATCAGTCTTCTCGCAGTGCATCATCTTCAGGAATATAGACAGAAGTTTCTTTTGGAGGAAAGGGCAAAGGAATCGGTCTCTCCAGAAGCACTTCTGAAATTAGAGTTGATTGCCTGAATGTTGAGAATTCTATCTTTTTTGTCCCTAAAACACTATATAAAGTGGATTTTAATAAATTTCTGCTTTAACACTTGGTCTCATCGTAGATTGTCATGTGCAGTCAATTTTCAAGGTGTTTGCAGTCTCAAATTATACGTTGACCTTGGAAAGAGAGGAGGTCTTTGTTTACATTCAAAAGCATGTAGAAAGCGACATCATGCATGTCCAGCACAGGAAATATCAGAAAAGATCTGAGAAGACCCCCCCCCCCCCCAGAAAAAAAAAAGCCAGTCGTACGGGATGTGGGAACTCAGCACAAGAGGCTTCTGCTCCGAGGATGCTGTTCCCCAGCCTTCACAGATGTGGTGTGGAGCCACACTTCTGCTTTCTGTCATCTGTTTAACCAAAAGGATCCTCGAGAAGGGTGACTCCTTGTCCTGTTGGCTGGATGTGTGTACTCTGTCCTGACAGGTGTGTGTATGTAGTTTTCATTGCCCTCCTTCCCAATGCAAGCTGGACCCAGAACAGACAGCTGTGAGAGCAGGATTCTCTCATTCTCTAATCGCTTTTCTCTGCTGTTGTGGCTGCTTTTCAGCTCATTTGGGTAAATACCAAGGAGCACAGTTGCTGGATCACTGGTAAGACTGTCTGCTTTTCTAAGAAACTGCCAAACTGGCTTCCAAAGTGGCTGTACTGTTTTGCTTTCCCACCAGCCATGACTTATTTTCTAATCCTCACATCCTCGGGAGTAGTTGATGTTATCAGTGTTTTTGATTTTGACCATTCTAACAGGTATGTAGTAGTATCTCACTGTTGTTTTAATTTGCAATTCCCTATGCAAATTACGATGCCGGAACATTTTTTCATATGCTTTTTTTTTTGTCATCTGTGTATCTTTCCTGGTGAGGTGTTTAGGCCTTTTGCCCGTTTTTAATTGAGTGGTTCATTTTCTTATTGTTGAGTTTGAAGAGTTCTTTGCATACTTTAACACTCCTTTCTCACATGTGTCTTTTATTATGAATATTTTCTCCCACCTGTGGCTTGTCTTCTCAATCCTTCATACTGTCTTTCACGGAGCAGTTTCAAATTTAAATGAAGTCCAGCTTTCCAATGATTTCTTTCATGATCATGCCTTTGGTGTTAGATCTTAAGTCATGGTCATACCTATGGTCACCTAGATTTTCTTCTATGTTCTCTTCGGGGAATTTTGTGTTTTACATTTAGGTTTTGACCCATTTTGATTTAATTCTTGTGAAGTGTGTAAGGTCTGTGTGTATATTCTTTTTTTGCATGTGGGATGTCCAGTTCCAGCATGATTTGCTGAAAAGACCATCTTTGCTGCAAAGACCATCTTTGCTGCATTGTATTGTCCTTACTCCTTTTTCAAAGATCAAAAGATCAGTTGACTGTACTTATGTGGGCCCGTTTCAGGCTCTCGGTTCTGTTCCATTGATGTGTCTGCCTCCTTTCACCAATACCACCCTGTCTTAATTGCTGTACCTTTATAGTAAGTCTTGAAGTCAGATAGCATCAGTCCCTCAACCTTGTTCTTCAGTATTGTATTGGCTATTCTGGGTCTTTTGCTTCTTCATATAAATTTTAGAATTCACTTGTCAGTATCCACAAACTAACTTGCAGTGATTTCGAATGGGATTGCTTTGAATCTATAAATCAACCTGAGATGAACAGACATATTGACAGGATATAGTTTCACAATTCCATTTATCTGGCTAGTTTATTCACAGAATGATAATGGAATTAAGGGATGCTCATAATCCCTGAACATTTCTGTCTTATGTGGATAATCAAAATTTATTCAGGTGGATGGATGGACAGAATATTTATAGTCACTCTTCCAACCATTCAAATAAAATGATCTAAATGTAGGGTTGGTTTGTTTTCATTGTTTGAAGAAGTCCTGTTTCTCCATTCCTGCTTTCAGGTTAAGGAAAGAGCATTGTTGGCTTATTACCATGTCCTATAGTCCATTTTCCCTCCATATTCTTTTGGGCATCGTTGGAAACAAGGAGAGTAAGATACTGCCCTGGCCCTGGAAGGTCCACAGTCTGGGAAAGGAAATAATGGTGTAAATACCTGCACTAAAGTTCTCCTCTATCCCCAGCCTCTCAACATAGGGCCAGCACCAGCAGCACCAGCTAGCACCCTCTCCGCCCCAACTACAGACTGAATCTACTTGGTGCCCTAAAAAAAAACAATAATGTCAAGAGTACTCAGAATAGTATCTCATACCACCAACCCATTTGTTTTATTTGGAAATATAGCTTATCTAAAAATAATCATCCAGCTTGTGGTGATCACCCACCATTTCCCTCTAGATGGGTTGTAACCTCCCTTTCCTCATCCCTCCCCACTCTCCCCATATTGCCATGCCTTCCTGAGCACTTACCACTTGTATAGCTCACATGACTTTAGGCCTCCTTGTCATATATTTCCTTGTCTGTCTCAGAACTTTTTTTTTTTAATTTTATTTATTTATTTGTCAGAGAGAGTGCGCACAGGCAGACAGAGTGGCAGGCAGAGGGAGAAGCAGGCTCCCCGCTGAGCAAGGAGCCCGATGTGGGACTCGATCCCAGGACGCTGGGATCATGACCTGAGCCGAAGGCAGCCGCTTAACCAACTGAGCCACCCAGGCATCCCGGTCTCAGAACTTCTTAAAAGAAGGGGTTATGATTCATATTTATTCCTAAATAGTAGTAGCCATGCCTGCCTCTGACCTCTTCCTGCCACCCAACCCCTAGTTGAAGAACTAGGACTTTTCTTGTCCTACTGTAGTGACACAGATTGTTCTTCAAATGCTGATTATCAATAGGAAAGGCTCTTATACGAAATAAATGGGAAATTTTGGGTTCAAATAAACAAAAAGCAGGTTTCTATACAACTTTTCAGAGCCTTTCATATGCTTTTCCCAAATTTATTCAAAACAGTTTTTTTTTGAGATGCAAGAAACATTTCTTTAGCCAATGAAACCTTTTCAGAAGTGCAGATCTAAACCACAATAGGAAAATAACTTTTTAAGCTAATGAATTTCTCTTCACGTATTAATTATAGTTTTAAAAAAATATAGAGTAACATCAGCAAAATGGTGTAGATAGCTCTGTATACCCATTCATCCAGAGGAACATTTTAAGAAGTACCAGAAACTTTGGGAATCAGCTTTGTCAGAACTGGAAAGCAAGAGTTTACCTCAACCAAGTGAACACTGTATTAAGAAAAAAGCAACTTAAAAACAGTATGAAAGCCTTGTGGCATTTTACTTGCCCTTGCCAAATCCCTCTCCCAGCTTGGCTTGGGAGAGTCTTGAAGATAGGAGCTCACTTTCTCACTATAGGACTCTGGTCCCTAGTTCCAGTGAAAGAGAGTATATATACTTAAGTCACAAATTACCTGTTTGAAACCTGTGGGCCATCATGAAGGGCTAACACAAGGTGCTCATCTCTGGTTTGCCTATCTTGTAACTTACTCAGGGAGGAAAAGCAGCAAGCACTGCTTGAAAACATGTTAAGGAAACAATTTTTAAAAAGTGAAACCTTCACCTGGGGCAACATGTTACAGTTGAGACATAAAATAGCTTGCTTAAAACCTAGGAGGAAAAGCCAAAGAGAGCATTTCTTTGGGATATTAGGACATTCAAAAGCATGTAGAAAGCGACATGCATGTCCAGCACAGGAAATATCAGAAAAGATCTGAGAAGACCCCAGACTTTCACCACTGGCTGATCTATAGGCTTGGTGCAAACAGGAACTGAAGGCTGAGACAGAACTGTCAATAATCTGGCTGTTAAGCATGTCCAAGCACAGGGCCAGTCCATAAAGACTGGGACAGGTGTCTTTGTTTTTTAAGGTCCTGGTGTTCAAAAAGATCTCTGTCAAAATACTGACTGACCACAGCAAAGCGTTCAGTTAAATACCCTGGGGAAGGGGGAGACCGTGATTTCTGGAATTATTCTGGAATATTCAGATGTCCAGTTTTCAATAATAAAAATCACAAAGCATACAAAGAAAATGGAAAGTATGGCCCCTTCAAAAGAAAAAATTAAATTAATAGAAACCATCCTCAAGCCCAGACATTGCACTTCCTAGACAAAAACTTTAAACCAACTGCCTTAAATATACTCCAAAGGTTTAAAAAAAAAAAAAAAAACCAGTAAGACAATGAATTAAGACGTTATTTAAAAGGAAACCACATGAAATTCTGGACCTGAAGAGTACAAAAATTGAAGTGCAGAAATACATTAGAGGTGTTCAACAGCAGATTTGAGTAGGCAGAAGAAAGAACTGGAGAACCTGATGATAGAACAGCTGAAATCCAGTTTGAGAAGGAAAAAGAAAAGTGAACAGCCTGAAGGACTTGTGAGACCCTCAAGCTCACCAACATATGCATTATGGGAGTTCTAAGAGACTAATGAACAGAAACAGTATTTAAAGAAATAATGGCTAAAAACATCTCATATCTGAAATATATGAATCTACACATCCAAGAAATCTCAACAAATTCCAAAAATTAAGGGATCCACACTAAGACACATAGTCAAGTTGTAGAACAGTAGAGACAATGAATAATGAAAGCAGAAGAGAATCAACTCCTCATGTACAAGGGGATTCTCAGTAAGATTACCTAATTTTTCATCAGAAACCATGGAAGTCAGAGGCACTGAGATGACCTATTTAAGGTTCTGAAAGAAGAAAACTGTAAATGAATTCTATACCCAGCAAAATTATCCTTCCAGAATGAAGGATAAATTAAGGTATTCCCTAACAACAGGAGTCCTTCAGGCTGAAATGAAAAAGAAGACAATAGACACTAACTTAAAGCCAAATGAATAAAAAACATCATAAAGACAACTTCATTGAAAAACAAAATTTGTAAATTTTTTTATATGAGTTCAAGCCAAATACATACAAAATAATTATAAATCCATGTTAATGAGCATACAATGTATAGAGATGTAAGCTGTGACAGTAACAATATAAAGAGGGGCAGAGATATATAAAAGTGGAAGTTTTTGGATACTACTTAAATGTAATTGGTATTATTCAAATTAGATTGTTATAAGATGTAATCTCAAAAATAATT